AATATGAGAGTTATGACAGGCTCAGCGTATATTACAGATCAAAATTTTGTTAACATCCAGAGTTGAACTTGGAGGGAAAGTGGATATTGAAAAAAAATGGAAAGAAATGAAGGAAGAATGCCTGGGAAAGTGAAAGCATGAAACCTGTACAAAATCTGATTAGAATATAATCTCCCAATAAAATGAATGGGAAGTGGATGTAAGGAAAGATGTTGAGGAAACGTCTTGGAACAAGGCATGAAGGATTATGCTACAGAATCCCACAAGTATATTAACAGGAAAATGTTTGGTGGGATAAGGAAGTTATTTTTTTTCCCTGCAAATTGGATAAATATGCAGAAAAGAATGATTACCATGAAAGATAAAGCAGAAAAATATTGTATAATATGTTTAAAGGAGAAAAGATAATTGTAATATCAAGGAGGTAAAGGGACAGATAACATTAAAAATCAGAGCATTGTTGATGGAAATGATAATTTTTTGGAGGTAATAGATGAAGAACCAGCAGCTTGAATAGATCCTTGCTTCCAGTGAGCATTCTGGCTTGATTTCCTGTAATTACTGAATTGATGGTTCTTTTGATTGTTCAACAAGCAAAAAGCTAGGTCCAGGTTTAGTTATATTTTTATGAAATGAATTTTAGGTATTGGGATTGGAAATTTTCTAGACTTTTTCTGTCAGATACGTATTTGTATTGTTGTGATTAGTAGCTGATAGACTGATCCACAATCCGCATCCAGCATCAGCATCAACAGTTCATCAGAACTTTTCTGTCTCTTGCTATGTAATCTATTTGATTATGGTGCTGTTCATTTGGAGATGTCCAGGTGTAGAACCATATTTTATATTTAAATAATGCATTAGACTTCTGTATAGAAAATGGGCCCTGCATCATTGTAGGTTCCTAATCTAATTTTTCCAATCATATACATTTTTCTCCAACTTTTCTTTTAAAGTTATAAGAAATTATTAGAACATGCTTCTTTGGTACTGAATCTACTATTTCTGATAATTTTCTATATAATTCTTCATCTATTTCTTCTTCCATTGATGATGCATATACCTATATAATCAAGAAACTAAGTGACTATCCTTGAAACTTGATAGAAATTACATTCCATTTTTAAATTTGGGTTTCACTTCCAAAATACAACATTTTGAATTTATCTGATTGGAAATGTCCCATTCCTGTCTATTTTAGTTCAGTTACTCATAGAATCCCTCTCCTAATCCATGCCATTTCCATTTTAACAAAATCCAGCTTTTCCTGCAGTCATTTCATGTTTCCATTCTAAGATTTTTCAATCAGCTCCTGGCTCTCCCCACCAATTCTGCCTACAATCAGCAACTTGCTTTTCCAAAGGCTTTGATGCAATTATTTATACTGCTAGACCTACTTCAGAATGCTCTTTGTTCTTGCTTTGTAGCCAAATAGTTACCTCCAGACCTGGGGCCATCATCTTTAAAGGAAAGATTACTCTATTTCTTCATAAACTTCTTTCCATGGGTTTTATTGCCATTTGTGAAGAATTATGTACTATTGTTTTCCTCAGGAATAGAGTTGCTACAACTTCAGCAGTGGCTACTTGGTCATAAACCCATCAGATGTATTTAACCTTGGCCCTATGCCAGTATTGACTGCTCTGCTGCCAACAGCCAGGAAGATGGGCTATGCAGTATTTCTAAAGCAGTCTTGTAACTGGTCATGCCCATCATAGCAGTTAAATTATAACTGGTGCTCAACATTCTAAGTGTGTTTACCAACCTATAACATTTAACAAAATAACAATCCCAGATTTATTATACTCTATAAGAATGGATAGTACTGATATATATCTCTGCATTTATCTGCATGTATGGGACTAGTCCAGACACAATGTCTTAAAGAAAATATACTGAGGCACAGAAAGCAGAAATCTATAAATGAAATCTATAGGGCTGCTCAGACCAGAACAATCTCAGTGCTTTTTATTAATGAATATTTGGAGCAAGATAAATGCAGCTGTTTTAAAAAGTTCTTCTCTGGTCTCTGTTAGTCTCTTGTATTTACTTAGCTACAAGCAAACTGCACTATATTTATTGATCATGACTCCAAGTTAATGTGTATTTATGAATGCAGTTTACTCTTAGCAATGGGATGGGATATGCTTAATCATTCCTTGACTATCCTGTCTCATAGTCAGGGTATAAGCATTTCCCATATATATTTTGGAGCTTCCAGCTAAAGCTCAGCAAGGTTGCCAATCAAAAAAAAAAAAAATCACAAACAGTGCCTGTTAAGTGTAAGTTTCAGTTGGTTATTCATCAGTTTTTAGAATAGGGAGCTGATACCAGATGCTAGAACAATTTACCAATTGAGAAGCATCCAAGCATAGTCAAACAAATGCAAAATTTCTGTGGACTGGCAAGGTATTCTCAAATCCCTCATTGACATTACACAGATCTGTAGTGACATGCCCTGAATCTAATTCATTGCATTAGAAACAAACTTCTGTTTTTCCATTGAAACCATGCTGCCTTTTTAATTTGTTATCTGGTAGTAGAAAATGCCTTGTCCTAAACCTTCATAAAATCAGCATACTTGGTGCAGTACAGCTATGGATATTTATAGTGTTTTTCAAATTTTAATATATAAATACTCAAAATACTTTAGAAACTCCCATGAACATGGTCAATGACTGACTAAAAGTTCTGGGAGCTGTGACTTCCAACACATATCTGGAGACTATCATAATGAAAAAGGTTACACTGATGACATTTCAAATATATTAAATCACCAGCCCCATCTACACTGTTTGATGAGATGATATTCAAAGCATATTTAGCATCTTTTTAAAAAATTGTCCTCTTTTCTTTGAACTTGTTACTATTAGAGCTTTTTACAGAATAAGCAAAAAGGAATTTGGTTTTTTTATTTTGTTCTTTATACAACAAAAACCTCAATCACACCGACAAACATGGCTATTATATAGTATTAACAGTATTGACAACATAGTCTTAAGGTGTCATCTTATCTGCCAGCAACTGTTTTGACTGTCAACAACTGCAAATGGTAATATATGATAAATTTAAGATAATGATCTCATTATCCTTATATTAAATGAGTAAAATGCATTGGAAAATTTGGATTGTATCCAAATAAAACCGTCATTAGATTTCAATGAATTTACCCAACTCCTTTTTTATGACCCTATAATCCCTTAATATGGGGTAGAGCTGGAGCAACTGAATGGAGCTGAACATTTACTGGTTGGATGCCCTTCCTGACACCATGCAGAGTTTGCAGCAGATATTTTTTCTTTGTACCTAGGAGAAAAACATCTGCCACTACCTAGTATTGAATTCTCAACCTTCAGAGTGGGAGGCGAGCGTCTTCACCACTAGGCCACCACGCTGTTCATTGTTCTTATACTAAAGGAGTAAGGTGCATTGGAAAATCTGGATTGTATCCAGATAAAACCATCATTAGATTTCAACAAATTTACATAAATGCAACTAAATTAAGAACATCGATTGGCTTGGTATCCTTTTTCCTTCAAGTGTTTTTTTTATTTTTGACTGAACATTTATTTGTTATCAGTTATATTTTATTTGTCATATTATGTAAACTAATAACCATAATAATGAAATGAACAAAGTCAAGATCCAGCTCAGTGTCTTGAAAGAAAAGGCGCTTTAAAAAAGAGTTGATAAATACATGAAATCTTAATATTTGCAAATATAACTGGAAATTATTCAATCTTATCTTACACTGAGATTCTTAATAGCTGAGGAAAATTTAGCTTAAATTGTCTTTGCCCAGCTGTTAATTGTAAGTTATACAAACTATGCTATTGTATAAGAATTAAGTCTCTTGACAAGAAGCTTATGACAGCTAAATCAAACTTTATAAAAAGCTATACAACCCATGACCCATTGGGTCATGATTTCAGTGGTATTTCCTTACCTAAACTGATAACCAGAATGACCACGGGCAGGCAAAAAAAGCAGCAGGAACAGGAGCAACTTTTGACTTCCTACCAGCTTACCCATTGACTTTGCTTGTGGGAAGCTAGCAGGGAGCATCAGAAATAATGTTGAAAGATCACGGTTGATCACAGAAGTGCTGCACTGACTATAACTTGACCAATACAACTGATCTGAAGATTGTTGAAATTTCAATTCATAAGAATAATAGGTTCCACACTTAGGATACATTCTTCAGGTTAGCCCATTTGAGGTACCTTGGTTAAAAAATTGTTACCCTGTGATACACCATTTTGCCCAACTGAAGACAGTTTTAGTAGCATACAGATAGATATTAACCATTTATATACAGGAATACGCTTCACTGAACTGAATAACATTTCCAAGTAAGATCAAGTTTAATGGATATTTTAAGGATTCAACTCTGGATCTGAGCATAAATACAATATTGGTAATTGAATAAGGGACCATTCTAAAGAATTATAGATGGCCCATAAAGTTTAGAAGAATGTACAGAACATTTTTCAAACTGATACCAGTCCATAATGGTGCTTTGTCAGCTACTCTATTGCATATAACTCAGCAAGGAAAATGCTGAAACCATCTGTAAAATAACTTGAATTAGGTATAAAGCTACAACCTCCATTTACAGGCATCACTTTCTGTTAGCTTTTCCTGATTAAAAAGGAACTGTTTGCTCAAAAACAGTGAGAAGGCTTACAATTTTTTCACTTGCATTCTACAAGTTTTTCTCACCTAAATTAAGCAGCAATAGCCTCATAACTTGTTTCTTCTAGGAAACATAAAAATAAAAAGCTTAAAGCAACACCCACATTTAGATTAAACTGTAAAGTATGTAAATAATTTAAGGGTTTTCTATTTAGCCAGCATGATCAAACGGAAGCAACCCAGTGACACGTTTTGTTTTGATCTCATTAGTGTTAGATATTAATATGTGCTAACTTTGCAAATATTTTAGATTTAACAATAGGAAAAGACACTTTAGATCAAAATTCAAGAACAAGTTTACTCACCTTCCTTCACTCTGAAACCAAGCAATTCGCTATGCCAACCCCCTCAGTCACTTTTTAAAAGTGCCCAAGGCACTCAAGAACAATGGCATTTGATTGGTCAGAAGGGAAGATCTATCGTATGACACGACCCTAATCTGGTCCAACCAGTTCTTAGTTGTGATAGGGCCAGCAGGTCTCTTGAGCCGCAACATTTACCCATTATAGTGGAATGTAGTTGTACTCATACCCATTCACCAAACTTTATGAAGTTTCTATTATTACATGCCATCAAACATTAACAAGTGATTCATATGATCTTTAAAAGTAAATCAGGAAAAAAAATAAAGAGCTATTATTTTCTTTACTAAATATATACAAAGGAAGCAGCCTTATTTGGAAGACAATATAAAATGGCATTTAAGGCAGTGTTCTGCAAAAGAACAAGAAGATTAAGGAGCTGTATTGATGACATTTTCCTTCCCTTCAAGAGTCTTCCACAAGATATGTGCAACTCTATATTTAAAATGAAATTCAGGAAGGTTAATTTCATGGCTCCTTTCTGTCCATAAGTTTAGGTTGTAAACTATAGGCACACATATGCGGGGTGTAAGTGGGGGATAAAGGGGTCAAAAAGTCAGTATTTGTACTGTCATAAATTGGCTTTTTGAGTGTCCCCCTATGCAGATGCCCTGACTGTAAAACACTTTGACTTGACCCATTTATTGTGTTAATTTATTTTATTTATATGTACAAATGAACAAGTATTATTCTGCCTTTCTTGCTATAGGGCCATTCTAAGCCATAATTCTACACAGTCTTAGATGATATGGTCATCAAGCCACAATGTTGTATTTTTTGTGTGTGGCTTATTATGGAGTATAGGGCAGCTACTCTAGTTGTAACTACGGCTGAGTTTAAAATGCAATTCTATTCAGGGAGTCTCTTTATAAGGCATGGAAGAGTATCCAGAAGCTCCAATTAGTACAGAAAGCAATGGTGCAGACAGTTATGTGTGCTCCCAAAACAGCACATATCACACTCTGCTCCATTGTCAAGGTAATGATTTAGAAGCTAACCAGCTTGTATAATGTGAGATGAATGATGCAATGTTAGGAATGACTCAGCAGGAGTCTGTATCCCTTTAAGAGCTTGAGTATAAAAGGGAAGGCCTTGCTGGAGTCTTTCTCTCTCATCTGTTTCCTGCTGTAATTGCTGTGTATTGGAGTTTGCTGTATCACCTCGTGTATTTTGTTTCTAGTGTATATATGTAGATAGTGTAATATAAACCACCATTTAAATACAAACCACTGTGTACTGTATTTATTCCTGGGTTACCTCAGCACAATAAGACTGTGCATGCTCTGACTTCCATGATTTGTATTGGTTGCTAGTTTGCTTCAGGGTTCAATGCAAGATTCTGGTTTTAACCTTTAAAGCCCTTCATGGCATGAAACTGAGCTATTTGACTGATTACCTCCTTATGTCAGCCCCCAAAACCAAGAAAGTCACAGGATATTTCTTCTAAGCTGAATTCTTTATTGTTCCAAGCCTATAAAAGAATCTTGCCAACTGACGCACTCTACCTGGTGCATCTACCATATACTCTGAAAACTATTAGGGGAGGGCTGTCTTCACCCTCTTTCTCTCACAGAAAATACCTGGACTCAGCTAGTTGGTCTTGGAGCCAGGATAAAAGAACTTGGATGATGCTTGTGTAGCCTTTCATTTAATAGTAGAAGAATATATTTTGTAAAGTGATCAGTTATCTGTGTTTTCACTATTCTGCTACAGTTAGAAAGGAAAACAAGCTCTGTTTAAAGTGTTGAACTAGGACAGGAGAAGCTTGGATTCACATCCTTCCTGAGCCATGAAGCTTATTGATGACTTTGGGCCAGTTATTGTCTTTTATGCCAGAATAGTCACAGGGACTTTGTTGCAGGAAGAATGAAAAGAGGAGGTGCTATATTCCGTCTTGAACTTTGGAGGAAAAGGAGACCAGAAATTTAACAAATTAATAAATAGATATTTAAAGAATTCTTATTATAAAATGAAAAATGTATTTTTCCTCCCATCTAAAATCTACATTTCAGGAAAGTGTTGCATGGATTGTTTTAATGTTGTGATTCAACCATTCATTTTTCTATTAGAGCAGAGGTGTCCAACCTTGGCAACTTTTAGACTTGTGGACTTCAACTCCCTGAATTACCCAGCCAGCCATGCCTTAATCCTATATTAAAGTAATTTAACAGGATTTACTTTATATTCTTTTCCATGGATACATTAACCATGGTTTATGCACGTCACTCATTTTTTTCTGAGTTTGCACATGCATTGAACTATAAACTCACAGTGTGGGGAGAGATGCATAATTAAGTGGTCTAGAATACAATGAGGTAGTTTGTAATTCAGCTATGGTCCACAGCCTCAAAGTCAATGTGTCTTTCTAGCACAAAGAGAAAGTATTTTTTTTCCTTTAATTTTAAGAAGCAAAATAATATTCTTTAATGACTAACATTTGGGTGGAGTCCAAATTCAATAATAATTCAGTCAGTCTAATAGTAACATTTTGCCATAGAGAAAAAATTTAAAAGCCTTCTTTTATTAAGATACTGCCTGCTCACTGATTTTGCCCCGAACACAAGCGAAGTGGTAAAAGATGAAGAAGAATCTGACTATGATGAACAATGCTAAAGTTATGTGCAACCTTACAGGTAGTTCTTGAGCAGTTCTGGGATTCAAATATGTGAACAACCAGTTCTCTGTGTGGATGCCACTTCCGGAAATCCATTCTGGGCCTGGGAAACAAAAAATTAGCTACCAGTTCTGCTGAACTGGTGCGAACTGGCTGAATCCCACCACTGTTCTTGAGTTACTTCCATAATGGAACCTGCCCATTATGGTAACAAGTTGTAATGGTTATAAAATGGATCAGTCGTATGACTGACCTGATTTTGCAACATTTTTTTGCAATAGTTGTTAAGTGAATGCAGTGGTCGTAAGAACCCATTGCTCACTATGGGCACAGTTTTGCCAGAAGAAAATGCCTATATTTAATTGGTATTCAGAGAGTGAATTATTCATGAGTTGATGGTTCAGGGATTGTCATCAGAAGAGAAGCTATATTCTAGCTCAGTGTTTCTCAACTTTGTGAACTCCCATGCTTACTGCAGAAGTCTGGGAATTGAAGTTCACACATCTTAAAGTTCACAAGAATGAAAAACACCCTTCTAGCTGAGAGTGAGCACCTACTCCTGGTATAATTTGCAAATAAGTAATCCCTGACATGTTGCAGAGTTAATCCCCTCATTCATAAGCCTAGGTGTCAAGGTAGAATGGAATTTGCCCTATTGCAGCTGGAATTACTGGCAAGAGAATATTTCCTCCCAACTAGCTTAACAAGGCAATGGTGCAATATAAGAGGCCAGATTCACTAAGAAGTCAATGATCTTTATACCATTTCTTTTTAAAACAGAAAGAGCCACTTATTAGATACTAGCACCACACACAATTGATTAAATAAATTGACTTTGTAGAACAAGCAGACGAAAGCCTTCGGCCTTTGACTGGGCTACCCATTGCATGAAGTAACAGTTTAGCCATAGTTTGATGAATATATTGATAATTGTCTGGTTTACACAATGCATAAACCACAACATGACAAAATGACACAGCAGTGGTGGGTCTTATCCGGCATGACAACAAAGATGCTTATAGGGAAGATGTGAAGACTCTGATGGGAATGGTGCAATAAAAGTAACCTGGTTCTAAATGTTGATAAAACAAAGGAGATCATTGTAGATTTCAAAAAGAGCCAGCATAGACATACTCCACTCAGCATCAAGGATGCATCTGTAGAGTTGGTCAACAGTATTAAGTATCTGGGGGTGCAGATAACTGACAATCTGAAATGGTCTCTCCACAAATCATCCTTAGTGAAGCGTGCAAACCAGCCTCTGCATTTTCTGCACTGGATGAGCACATCTTTCTCCTTCTGCCATTTTTTACAGAGGTATGATTGAGAGCATTTTAACAAACTGCATCGCTGTCTGGTTTGGTGGCAGCAGTGCCTCAGATAGAAAGTCCATACAGAGAATGGTAAGGAAAGCTGAGAAGATCATAGGAAGCTTGCTTCCTAGTATTCAGGATGCTGCTTATAAACACTATATGCTTAGAGCTCAAAGCATTGTTAGAGACCCCACACATCCACTTTATGGTCTGTTTCTGTTGGTCCCCTCTGGGAGGAGGTTTTGAGGTATTTCTAACATGGCTTTGTTCCCTATGCTATCTGTCTGGTAAACTCGCAAGATTCGTTTTTCTTGCCATGCACATGTATACATAACCCGAACTAGACTGTTGTTTCTCTGTGTCATGTAATATATGTGGGTATATGCATAATTCTGTATTTATTTATTTTTGCCATATTTATACAGTGTGTATCAGAGAGAGTGACCCTTTGATAGCTGAATGCAATGAAATTTCATTTTAATGTATGCCAATTAGTATACATTCAAAGTGACAATAGAGTTATTAAAAGTTAAGTTAAAGTTAACATAGTACATGACTTTTTAGCCAGGTATCTAACCATGATCCAGGTATTCATCTTATGTATGCACCCCTAATCATAATATCTAATAAGCCAGCAATCTCAGACATTTTTTATAGAAGGATCCCCTATTTGTCCATCTAGCCCTGCTTGTTTATTCTTCCTGAAAGGGGTCTCAAATTTTGCCTATCATCAAGCTCTTTTTGCAAATGACAGTGCCACAGATGCAAATTGACTCTTCTAAATACAAATTATATGCCCTCCCACTGATCTTCTCTCTAACTTTCAAGCTGTTGTCTCTGCCTAACTATGCAGCAGTTAAGTTTAAATCTTACATGAATTTTGCCAACAATGGGATCCAAACAATTTTTCTTCTGCATTTATATATTCAGTGAAGTAAATACAGTTGTATGAATCCAGAGCAGAATATTCCAGAGCATGAGTCCATAACAGAAAAGGATTGGCTTTGTCTCTATGACTCCTTGACATTTCATAAGAATGTAACTCAAGAGTGTTCCCTTCTGGAATGTTTTAAGAGAGGGTGGACGCGGCCTGGGGGGAGTGCACAGGTCGTAATAATGTTTATTTTATTTTAAA